CGTTCCAGTCATGGTATTGTGCCTTTTTTGTTATTTATGCCTTAAAACACTGTGTATGCCACTATGCTTCTTGCATCTGTCAAACCAGCTTCTGCTGGCCTTAAATTCACTAACAGCAGCACTCATTCCAGGCATTTTCTTTGAGATTTGCATGCATCTGCCTTGCCTTTTCATATGTGATTGACTTCACAGCACTATCTCCCGCTAACTGTTTATCGTTGATCCACACCAACAATATCTTCTCCACATCTTTGATTAATGATGATCTTTGTTTTGTTAGCATATATGTATACCCCTTTTGCAGCATTAGCTTCCTCAATTTCTACTTTCTTTGCCAGGATGGAAGTGATTGTTGATTTGGATTTGCCATACATCCTGGCAAGCTGGAGTACACATACATCACTTTTGTACTTTGCTACAATTTCTTGAATTCTATTTTGTTTCTTGCTTTTTTTTACCAAAAGGCTGGTACTAAGAACTTTCTTTGGGCCCATGGTGGCTTATTTCACAGTCACACTCGGTAAACAACTACAAAAAACAATGGATTTTAACGAAATGTTTGGATGAATGCATGGAATGTTGCTCATTCTCCTAGAGACTCAGTCAGAGTGACTCATGAACGCGGCAGAGTGGCAGTTGGATGCATCCTATACAGCCGATTTCCAAGTTGCCTGCCAAAATCCAGGACAGAATTTTGGCCAAAAACGTAGCCGAAATCCGATTTGGCCGATATCCGGGGTTCCACTTTACTGCATAAGATACTGTAATCAGATGACTTGAAAATATTAATCCTAGTTTTTATATGAGGAATTGCACAGCAGAAAAGAATAAGTGCTATCATGGTCAAATTTCAGTTTAGTGAATGAATAAATTCCATAAGGTTTTGTCTATTTGTAGGGATATGTACATATTGTCTTCTGCATCTGTAAGTTAGGCTCAGAGCCCTACAAAAAAGCATGGTAATTGAAGCTTCATAGTCCCGACCTCTGTCATGCATGTGTTTTACTCCATGGTTTGAATTTGGCACTTAATTAATTTCTGCTGTGCAGTGCCTCGTACATAGTACGTGTATTAATTATTTGCCCCACAATGTCATTGTGGAAAATGTCATATTTTAACCCTTTGAGGGTTTTCGTCGTACTAGTACGTCTTACGCGTAGGGGTTTTTGACGTACTAGTACTCATAAATTCTAGCGACCTCAAATCTAGTGGGAGAAAGCTGGTAGGCCTTCATATGAAAGAATGGGTCTATGTGGTCAGTGTGCACAGTCTAAAAAAAATCCTGCAGCACACGGTGCATAATGAGAAAAAAAAAACTTTTTCCATTTTTTTTTAATAAATCAGCGACTTTGCAGTGTATTTTCGTATAGTATTTATTGTTGTATTCTAGTTTTCTTGGTCTCATTTTATAGAATGGAAGACATATTACTGAAATTAAGATGATTTTGACTGGTTTTACAATGAAAGGTGCCTTGAAATTGAGCTCAAAGTAGCAGAAATGTTCGATTTTTACCAAACTTCAAAAGTAAACAAATCGTGCCAAGCGTGCAATACACGTCAACTGGTGAGTCTAATATTCTTTCACAAGTGCACCAATAATATTTATACCATTTTTTACACTAATGCAGTAGTCTGCATAACAGTAAATCTTATATTTTTTGTGAGAATAAAAATTCAAAGTGGAAAGCAAAAGAATATAAGAGGGGCCTTGAGACGTGACTAATGACTAGAGGAAATGTCATTTAGTGCCAGGAATGTCTTTCTTGTTTATTCTGGACCCTATTCCGAAATTGGCATCTTTTGAAATTTGTGTGAAATTGGCAAAATTGCTAAATTCTGACCACTGTACTGGATAGTTGAATTTATAAATGGGTGGTTTCTTGCACCCATTCGATAGAAAAAATGGAGTTCTAGCGAAATATTCATGTTTTTTGTCGACTAGTACAGTGAAATTGGCCGAAAATGGGGCTCAAAGTGGGCAAAATCGCCGATCCGTAAACATCGCCGAGACCGCTAACTTTGCGAGAGCATAATTCCGTAAGTTTTCTATCAAATTTCAAACTTTTGGTGTCGTTATGATCGGGAAAAGATTCTCTATCTTTTCATAAGAGAAAATAATTTTTTTTTTTTTAAATTTGGCCGACCCTGAGAACGAGTTTCGGAGAGGGCCTGTCGACCCTCAAAGGGTTAAGATGTTCAGAATGCTGTACAGTGGAACCTAGGTTTTCATCTTTAATCCGTTCCAGAGAGTCTGACAAATACTGAATTCGCCAAAAACTGAAGCAATATTGCCATAAGAAATAATGTAAATCCAATTAACCCTTTGAGGGTCGACAGGCCCTCTCCAAGACTTGTTCTCAGGGTCAGCCAAATTTAAAAAAAAAAAAAATAATTTTTTCTCATGAAAAGATAGAGAATCTTTTCCCAATCGTAATGACACCAAAAGTATGAAATTTGATGGAAAACTTACGGAATTATGCTCTCGCGAAGTTAGCGGTCTTGGCGATGTTTACGCATCAGCGATTTTGCCCACTTTGAGCCCCATTTTCGGCCAATTCCACTGTACTAGTCAACAAAAAAAACATGAATATTTTGCTAGAACTCCATTTTTTTCTATTGAATGAGTGCAAGAAACCACCCATTTACCAATTTCAACTATCCAGTACAGTGGTCAGAATTTAGCAATTTTGCCAATTTCACACAAATTTCAAAAGATGCCAATTTCCGAATAGGGTCCAGAATAAACAAGAAAGACATTCCTGGCACTAAAATAACATTTCCTCTGTTCATTAGTCACGTCTCAAGGCCCCTCTTACATTCTTTTGCTTTCCACTTTGAATTTTTATTCTCACAAAAAATAGAAGATTTACTGTTATGCAGACTACTGCATTAGTGTAAAAAATGGTATAAATAATATTGGCACACTTGCGAAAGAATATTAGACTCACCAGTTGACATGTATTGGACGCTTGGCGTGATTTGTTTACTTTTGAACTTTGGTAAAAATCGAACATTTCTGCTACTTTGAGCTCAATTTCAAGGTACTGTTCATTGTAAAGCCAGGCAAAATCATCTCAATTTCTGTAATATGTCTTCCATTCTATAAAATGAGACCAAGAAAACTAGAATACAACAATAAATACCATACGAAAATACAGTGCAAAGTTGCTGTTTTATTAAAAAAAAATTTCATTTTTTTTTTCTCATTATGCACTGTGCTGCAGGATTTTTTTTATACTGTGCACACTGACCACATAGACCCATTCTTTCATATGTAGGCCTACCAGCTTTCTCCCACTAGATTTGAGGGCGCTAGAATTTAGGCATACTAGTACATCAAAAACCCTGGGTCGTAAGCCGTACTAGTACGGCCGAAACCCTCAAAGGGTTAATCCATTCCAGACACCCAAAAATATTAACAAAATATACATTTTATAGAGAATATAGTTTTACATACAGAAACAATGAGAAATAAATATAAAGCACTAATGAAATGGATAAATGAACATTTAAATCACTCTTATCTTTAATGGAGACTCTTGTTGGCGTATGGAAGATGACGAGGAAGGAGAGGTTATCTCTACCACCATCACTACCACTCTCTACCACCATCACTACCACTCTCTACCACCATCACTACCACTCTCTACCACCATCACTACCACTCTCTACCACCATCACTACCACTCTCTACCACCATCACTACCACTCTCTACCACCATCACTACCACTCTCTACCACCATCACTACCACTCTCTACCACCATCACTACCACTCTACCACCATCACTACCACTCTCTACCACCATCACTACCACTCTCTACCACCATCACTACCACTCTCTACCACCATCACTACCACTCTCTACCACCATCACTACCACTCTCTACCATGATCACTACCACTCTCTACCACGATCACTACCACTCTCTACCACGATCACTACCACTCTCTACCACCATCACTACCACCCTCTACCACCATCACTACCACTATCACTACCACCATCACTACCACCATCACTACCACCCTCTACCACCATCACTACCACCATCACTACCACCATCACTACCACCCTCTACCACCATCACTACCACTCTACCACCATCACTACCACTCTCTACCACCATCACTACCACTCTCTACCACCATCACTACCACTCTCTACCACCATCACTACCACTCTCTACCACCATCACTACCACTCTCTACCACCATCACTACCACTCTCTACCACCATCACTACCACTCTCTACCACCATCACTACCACTCTCTACCACCATCACTACCACTCTACCACCATCACTACCACTCTCTACCACCATCACTACCACTCTCTACCACCATCACTACCACTCTCTACCACCATCACTACCACTCTCTACCACCATCACTACCACTCTCTACCACCATCACTACCACTCTCTACCACCATCACTACCACTCTCTACCACCATCACTACCACTCTCTACCACCATCACTACCACCCTCTACCACTATCACTACCACCCTCTACCACCATCACTACCACCTCTACCACCATCACTACCACCTCTACCACCATCACAACCACTACCACCTTCTACCACCATCACTACCACCCTCTACCACCAACACTACCACCCTTTGCCACCATCACTACCAGAAACTCCGAGAAATGAAGCCAGACTGACTCAGAATGCATGTGTGGGATGCTTTGTGTGGGCGCTGGCAGGTAGACACATTTGGTATAGCGGATGAAAACCGAGGTGATGAACGAACATTGGGACAATATTTTGATGAAAAAAGTCTTCAGAAACCAAATTTGACAAAAACTGGGGCAAACGAACACTGAGGTTCCGTAGTTTTAAAGTTACGTACTAGTTCAGCTGTATGTAAAAAGTAATATTAGGTATTCTGTATTTATATAAAGTACATTGAAGTTAATGATTAATCATCATCGAAGAATATCCATTGTTCTTGTTTTAATATGCTGTACTAGTTCCTGCATTTTTTCAGGGCTGCTTGGTACTAACTGTTGCAGAAAACCAACCCGAAAATTCCCTCTTACCACCAGCTCGCTACCAGACTTTGGTTTATGTGGGCCGTTCACTTCAGAATCAGGGTGAATACCGGCGAGCAGAAGCTACATTTAAGGAAGCACTTCAATATGCAAAAGCAGCTGCGAAGACCAAGGTTGCTAAGACTTCAGATATGTTCAAGGAAGGGCTGACAGAAATAGGTGAGAAGTGTTTATAATCATCAATTTTTGGATTGTAATACTACTAGTTCTGCTGCTGCTGGATGAGCTATACATTGCTGTATGTCATGGTTTATTCTGCCCCTTTCTTTGGTTCATTTTTTACAGAACTCTCAGTACACAGTTCAGGATAGCACCCAACATTGAAACTTTTATACATGCCCCAATCCCACCTCTTTTGGGTATTTGCCATTATGTGAAATTTGACAACTGTCTCCTCACTTTCATCAAACTTCTTGCTGTTTTATGTACAATATATATCATGATATATTAACCCCTCTGGGGTTTCTTCTGTTTTCTTCCTAGTTCTTTTTCTTGTTTATTTTATCTCCATGGGAAAGTGGAACAGAAATCTTCCTCCATAAGCCATAAACTAAAGGAGGCAGCAGTTAGGGTAAGATATAAACAACTGTTGGAGGACAGATGGGCTAGTGAGAATACAGGCGATGGGGTAGAAGATGTATGGGGTAAGTTTAAGAATATAGTGTTAGTGTTCAGCAGAAGTTTATGGTTACAGGAAAGTGGGTGTGGGAGGGAAGAAGAGTGGTGGGTGGAATGATGATATAAAGAGAGTAATAAGAGAGAAGTTAGCATATAAGAGATTTTTACAAAGTAGAAGTGATGCAAGGAGAGAGGAGTATATGGAGAGAAAAAGAGGTTAAAAGAATTGTGAAGTAATGTAAAAAGAGAACAAATAAGAGAGTGGGTGAGATGTTATCAACAAATTTTGTTGAAAATAAGAAAAAGTTTTGCAGTGAGATTAATAAGTTGAGAAAGCCTAGGGAAAGAATGGATTTGTTAGTTAAAAATAGGAGAGGAGAGTTAGAGGTATCGGGAAGATGGAGGGAATATTTTGAGGAATTGTTAAATGTTGATGAAGATAGGGAAGCTGTGATTTCATGTATAGGGCAAGGAGGAATAACATCTCATAGGAGTGAGGAAAAACCAGCTGTGAGTGTGGGGGAAGTGCATGGGGCAGCGAGTAGAATGAAAGTGGGTAAATAAGCTGGGATTGATGAGATAAAGATAGAAATGTTAAAAGCAGGTGGGGATAAAGTTTTGGAGTGGTTAGTGTTTTTATTTAACCCTTTGACTGTTTTGGTTGTATATATACGTCTTAGGCGCCACTGTTTCGGACGTATTTATATGCGTAAATTCTAGCGGCTTCAAATCGAGCAGGAGAAAGCTGGTAGGCCCACATGTGAGAGAATGGGTCTGTGTGGCCAGTGTGCTCCACATAAAAAAAATCTTGCAGCACGCAGTGCATAATGAGAAAAAAAACAATGTTTTTTTGGATTAAAACGCCGACTTTGAGGTGTGTTTTCGTATAGTATTTACCATTGTATTCTCGTTTTCATGGTCTCGCGTGATAAAATGGAAAACATATTACAGAAATAGAGATGATTTTGATTAGTTTCACGATGAAAACGACCTGCTGCTTCCTTAACCTATTGAACCACGAACAATCATAAAACACATGAAAGCATCATAAAATATTGTATATACATGTTATGGTTTAATAACAAATAATGAACAAACAAAACACTCACCACATAAGGTTAGGCAAACTAACTCTGACAACTTTTGGTGATGACCATGATGATGATAGTAATACTTAGCCATGCAGTTACTGATGACAGTTGAATGGAGGTGATTATATGGAGTGTAACTGCATGGCTTGATGAGTCTAGTATGTGGATTCTAACTCTTCACTGCCAGCGTCACTGCTGACATCGCTAGAGTCAGAGTTAGTAATGGAGTCAGAGTCTGCCACAGGTTGAGGTTCAAGTGAGGCTGTAGGGGTAGCAGCAGGAGTAGCGGCAGGCTTCTTTTGAAAAACATTGCGATGGGCATCTGAGACTGTTTCCTCTTTATATCTACAAACAGAGATTTGTGGGGAATTATGCTCCTATCAGTGTCTCTCATCACCTTCAAAGCCCTCAACTTTGATGGATCTGTCGTAAAAAAATTGTTTGAGTTGTGCTGTCATTCTCATCGCTTGCCCTAGTTTTTCAAGGGTGAGGGCTTGAGGTTGATTGGCCTCAGCAACACACTCCTCTTCATCCTCACTCTCTGCCTTCACAGTCTCCAACAGTTCTTCATCATTTAGGCCCAGTACATGTTCTTCAACCAGTTCTCTCGCCTCACCCTCCTGCATGTCCTTGAACCCTTCACTACCAACTAGCCTTGATAACTCCACAGTCTTTTCATGGCTTTGTTAACCTCATCCTGAGGACCAAATCCAACAAAATCACTTTGCACTGTTTCTTACTTGACACTTGGTTGGCTGAGGGAGGAGCAGTAGATGCTAGTGCCGCCCCTTATCTTCGCCTCATTTTTCTTGATAGAGCTCACTGTGCTTTCATTTCCATTAAATAATTTTCCAGTGGCAGAATTGCTCAAATAACCTGCCCTACACTTGTCAAGCAATTTCACCTTCTCCTTCAGGTTCATGACTTTCTTTGAGTACTTAGGGGTTGTCTCATAAATAGCAGTTGCTGCTCACCTGTGGGCTATACTTGCACCACCACACAAACACACGTGTATGGTAGGACATGAGCAGTAACTGGACACGACTGACTTGAACAGTAACTGGATAAAGACTGAGTGAGTGGCAGACTGGTGGGCTGCCAGTTGAGGGGTTAAGAGGGAGGGTAGTAGGGATGCGGCAGGAAGCGTTTTCCCGTACTTTTTCCCACATTTGTTTGGTAAATATGATTGGGTGGTTGGGCATTCGCGAATGTTTGAAGCTCTTGAAAGTGGAGGGTTAGCTCTACATGTACAGTGGACCCCCAATTTTCGTCCTTAATCCGTTCCAGAAGGTTGGTCGAAATCCAAAATGGACGAAAACCGAAGTAATATTTCCCATAAGAAATAATGTAAATCCAATTACTCCATTCCAGACACCCAAAAATATTAACAAAAAGTATATTTTATAGAGAATAACTATAGTTTTACATAAAGATAACAATAAGAAATAAATATAAATTAATAGATAAATGAACATTTAAATCACTTTTACCTTTACTGAAGAGACTTATTGGTGTATGGAAGACTGCGAGGCGGGGAGAGGGAGAAGTTATTGTTTGGAAGGGAAATACCCCTCCATAAGGACTTCAGGTATCAAAGCCCTATCCGGGGTTACTTCCCTTCTTTGTCTTTTACTGGCACTAGGACCACCTTGAGATTCACTGTACCACGCAGGCACGGCTTGCAACAGCTTTGTTAGGGTGATATTTCTCCACCAACTCTTCCACATACTAGCTACACGATATTTAATGCAGCCCAGAGCCATATTATTACCATTGACATGCCATGTTCACTGAGTTGAATCATTTCTGACAACTAGCTTCAGATGCCATCATAAACAAAGGGAGAATTAATGAATAATTAAAGCTGAGAATTGTAAACAAAAGCGTTTTGTATTAAGGGCGGTGACTGGGTGGGCAATACAGATTCATACACATTTTCTCTGATGCTGGACCAGAGAAAACGTTATGTTTTCCCTCTGCCTGCTAGTTTACCTCCATAGCATATAAACATTGCATGTTATATGCTATGTAATGTGTTTCTTATATAATTTTGAAGAAAATGTCATAGATGGATTAATGAAAAATGTCTATATTAGCACATTTAATGTGCCCAAGAGTGATTATTATTAGTATTAGTACAGCCTCTCCTCACTTAGCGACGTACTTGTTTACCGACGCCTCGGACTTACAACGGGCTCTCTGACCAGTATTTATACCTAAATAATGTATATTAGAGTTGATTTCCTTAATTCTGTTTATTACAATATACAGTACAGTGGAACCTTAAATTTCGAACTTAATCCGTTCCAGGAGCTAGTTCTAAATTCGAAAAGTTTGAAAAGTGAAGCAATATTTCCCATAAGAAATAATGGAAATACAATTAATCTGTTCCAGAAATCCAAAAATATTCACAAAAAAAAATATACATTTTATAGAGATTAATTATAGTTTTACATTTTTTTTTTTTCAACAAGTCGGCCGTCTCCCACCGAGGCAGGGTGACCCCCCCAAAAAAAGAAAGAAAATCCCCAAAAAGAAAATACTTTCATCATCATTCAACACTTTCACCTCACTCACACATAATCACTGTTTTTGCAGAGGTACTCAGAACACAACAGTTTAGAAGCATATACGTATAAAGATACACAACATATCCCTCCAAACTGCTAATATCCCGAAACCCCTCCTTTAGAGTGCAGGCATTGTACTTCCCATTTCCAGGACTCAAGTCCGGCTATATAAAAATAACCGGTTTCCCTGAATCCCTTCTTTAAATATTACCTTGCTCACACTCCAACAGATCGTCAGGTCCCAAATACCATTCGTCTCCATTCACTCCTATTGAACACGCTCATGCACGCCTGCTGGAAGTCCAAGCCCCTCGCCCATAAAACCTCCCTTACCCCTTCCTTCCAACCTTTTCGAGGATGACCCCTACCCCGTCTTCCTTCTCCTACCGATTTAAATGCTCTCCATGTCATTCTACTTTGATCCATTCTCTCTAAATAACCAAACCACCTCAACAACCCCTCTTCAGCCCTCTCACTAATACTTTTATTAACTCCACACCTCCTAATTTCCACACTCCGAATTTTCTGCATAATATTTACACCACACATTGCCCTTAGACAGGACATCTCCACTGCCTCCAACCGTCTCCTCGCTGCTGCATTCACAACCCAAGCTTCACACCCATATAAGAGTGTGGTACTACTATACTTTCATACATTCCCTTCTTTGCCTCCATAGATAACGTTTTTTGACTCCACATATACCTCAATGCACCACTCGCCTTTTTTCCCTCATCAATTCTATGATTAACCTCATCCTTCATAAATCCATCCGCCAACACATCAACTCCCAAGTATCTGAAAACATTCACTTCTTCCATACTACTCCTTCCCAATTTGATATCCAATTTTTCTTTATCTAAATCATTTGATACCCTCATCACCTTACTCTTTTCTATGTTCACTTTCAACTTTCTACCTTTACACACACTCCCAAACTCATCCACTAACCTTTGCAATTTTTCTTTAGAATCTCCCATAAGCACAGTATCATCAGCAAAATGTAACTGTGTCAATTTCCATTTTGTATTTGATTCCCCATAATTTAATCCCACTCCTCTCCCGAACACCCTAGCATTTACTTCTTTTACAACCCCATCTATAAATATATTAAACAACCATGGTGACATTACACATTCCTGTCTAAGACCTACTTTTACTGGGAAGTAGTCTCCCTCTCTTCTACACACCCTAACCTGAGCCTCACTATCCTCATAAAAACTCTTTACAGCATTTAATAACTTACCACCTATTCCATATACTTGCAACATCTGCCACATTGCTCCCCTATCCACTCTATCATATGCCTTTTCTAAATCCATAAATGCAATAAAAACTTCCCTACCTTTATTTAAATACTGTTCACATATATGCTTCAATGTAAACACTTGATCTACACATCCCCTACCCACTCTGAAACCTCCTTGCTCATCCACAATCCTACATTCTGTCTTGCCTCTAATTTTTTCAATAATAACCCTACCGTACACTTTTTCCTGGTATACTCGGCAAACTTTTTCCTCTATAATTTTTTACAATCTCAACAAATTTAGTTCACAATTATGAATTAATAAATTTAAATAAACATATAAATTAACATTTTTACTTACCTTTATTGAAGATTGGTGATGGCATCTGGAAGATAGGGAGGAGTTGGGGTTAGTGTTTGGAAGGGGAATCCCCCTCCATAAGGACTTTAGGTATCAAAACCCTTTCTGGGGTTACTTCCCTTCTCTGTCTTTTAATGCCACTACGACCAGCTTGAGAGTCATTGGACCCCTGTCTCACGAAATAACTGTCCACAGTCCTCAACAAGTTTCACACCACTCTCATACTTCTGTATTATTTCCTTCTTCACATCTTTGGTGTTTCTCACTTTCTTTACCACAGGGGTACCACTAGCAAGTTTCTTTGGGCCTGTGGTAGCTTATTTCACAGTCTCATAAACACTAAACACAATGAATTAATTATAAAATGTTTGAATGAGACCGCAGGTTAGTGTTCATTCAAGCATCAACAAAACCAGACTGGCTCATGGTACCTGCGTGGGGACGTGGACAGAGTGGACTGGCGGACAGGTCCAGTACCCAGTGGTTCGAAAAAAGGGGCGAGTTCGATAATGATGATGGTTAAAAAGAAGCGGTCGATTTTTGAAGAGTTCGATAAGCGATACGTTCGAAATTTGAGGTTCCACTGTACACTTCTGTATAAACATTTGAAAATGTACCAGAAATGTTATAAATGGTGTAAAGGTGACATTAAAACAATATCAAAGATGGTTGACACAAATACACTACCATTATGGTATGTTCCTCGTTTAACGATGAATTCGTTTACCGACGGGGTCTAAGGTTTCTATCTCCATCGTTAAGTGAGGAGAGGCTGCATCATGAACGTATGAGCAGCCCAGGCAGACATGTCTGATACGGACGATTTCCAAGCAGATGTATGAAACCTGGGGTAAAAATTTGCTGAAAAAAGTGGTCGAAATCCGAATTGTATGATACCAGGACCGGACGAAAACAAGGGGTTCACTGTACATGTGACAGTGCTGAATGATGATAAAAGTTTTCTGTTTCTTTTTGGGTTTTTCTTTCTTTTTGGGTCACTCTGCCTTGCTGGGAAACAGCCGACGTGTTAAAAAAAAAATTGTACAATGTATACAGGCCTAGCTGACATCAACAACATGCTACTATTTAGAAAGCCATTTGTTATGCAGAGCATTTCAGGCAAATTTGTTCAATTTTGTCTCAGGATGCGACCCACACCAGTCGACTAACACCCAGGTACCATTTTTACTGATGGGTGATCATGGACAACCAGTGTAAGGAAACACACTCAGTGTTTCCACCCTTGCCGGGAATCGAACCCAGGCCCTCAGTGTGTAAAGCGAGAGCTTTTACCACCAGGCCATGGGCCACAATTCCCTCTTGTTTCTTGACTTTTATGACACTCATTTATTTGGTAAACATGTCTAATTTTTTTTCCTTTCATATTTTGTTTTACTTTTGTTATTAACTCTTTATTTAATTCTTATTAAATTAACAGATGTTAAATATGCGATGGCTGAGTGTAACATTGCTGTTCGACAATTCAGTCAGGCTCTCACACTTCTGGAATCTATCCCACAACGGCATCGCACACCAAAGGTCAACATGGGTTTGGGACGTCTGTACCAGCAGGCTGGAATGGAAAGACCTGCCATTACAGCTTACAAAGAAGTGTTAAAAGTGAGTTCTCAGTTACACAGGTCATAAATTATCCCTTTTGCATGTTGTATAGTTTTATTATATTGATTTTTTTCTTAAGCATTTTTGAGTGTCTGCATGATGAAAAAAGCTAGCAGTAGAGGTAACTTTTTTTTTGTTTACACACCAGAAACACTCCACCAAGATAGGGATTGGAGGGAGAGGGGAATAAAGGAGGTTTTGTGTGAGAGGCTTAGACATCCAGCAAGTGTGAGAGAGCATGTTAGATAGGAGTGCATGGAAGCAAGTGGTTTTTATAACTAAGTGCTGTTGGAGTGTGAATAATGTAACGTGAGTGAAGGGATTCAGGGATACTGGATAGCCGGACTTGAGTCCTGGAAGTGGGAAGTATAGTCCCTGCACTCTGAAAGAGGGGTGGGAATATTTGCAGTTTTGAACTGTAGTATTTGTACCCCTCTGGCGTGACTGATGGTGAAAGTGTTAGTGTTTCTTCATTTTTTGGGTAATTTTTACCTCTGTGGGAAATGGCCTGGTCATTGAAAAAATACACTTTCATTCCTCTACATTCATAAGTACATACAGCACTGAGCCCCACATTCTTCTTTGAGTAATCTCTGTAATGAAAACTAACAAATAAACCAAATAATCTAATCCTAAACCTTCCCAGATATTCTAAAACAGTTCAGTTTTTATTGAGTTAAACACCTTAAATATTTTTTTCCTCATAGGAGTGTCCGCTGGCATTAGAGGCTGTCCAGGAGCTTCTCAGTCTTGGAGTTCGAGGAGCTGAAGTAGCATCTCTAATGATCAATATTCATGGGAACTCAGCCGGAACAGAGTGGTCAGTACAGGATACTACAATTTTAGATCATTATTTTTTAATTTTGACACTTCTCTTGCTGAATTCTCAAGATATTTTTCAGGATATTATGCCTGCACGCTATGAGAACCACTATTGCCTTATAAGTGGATTCAGAGAATGTAAGATGGTGAGAATGAAGTAAAGTACAATGAGCTGTCACATTCCTTAGGCCATTCCTAACTGCCATCCTGATTAGGGTTATCCCAGATTGATTTCTGGGCTAGGGCCATCTCAGACTGACATCCTGGCTTGAGCCATCCCGAACTGACATTCTGACTAGGGCCATCCCAGATCGACATCCTGGTTGGGCCATCCCAAATCGACATCCTGCTTAAGCCATCCCAGACTGATATCCTCGTTGGGCTGTCCCAGATCGACATCCTGGTTGGGCTGTCCCAGATTGACATCCTGGTTGGGTCCCGTAGACTGACATTGCAGCTTGAGCCCCCCAGACTGCCACAGTGGCTTGGAGATCCCTGGAATGCCCCAGAGACTTGGGTCCCCCAGAATGCCCTGAAGGCTTGGGTCCCCAGACTGCCCCAGAGGCTTGGGTCCCCAGACTGCTCTGGAGGCTTGGCTCCCCAGACTGTCCCGGAGGCTTGGGTCCCCTGGACTGCCCTGGAAGCTTGGGTTTCCTGGACTGCCTCGGAGGCTTGGGTCCCCTGGATTTCCCCAGAGGCTTGGGTCCCCAAGAGTTCCCTGGAGGCTTGGGTCCTCAGACTGCCCCGGAGGCTTGGGTCCTCCCCCGGACTGCCCCGGAGGCTTGGATTCCCCATAGGCTTGGGTCCCCAGACTGCCCCGTAGGCTTGGGTCCCCTGGACTGCCCCGGAGGCTTGGGTCCCACGGACTGTCCTGGAGGTTTGGGTCCTCCCCCAGACTCCCCCGGAGGCTTGGGTCCCCCGGACTGCCTCAGAGGCTTGGGTTTCCCGGACTGCCCAGGAGGCTTGGGTCCCCTGGACTTCCCCGGAGGCTTGGGTCCCCAGACTGCCCTGGAGGCTTGGGTCCTCCCCCTGGACTGCCCCAGAGGCTTGGGTCCTCCCCTGGACTGCCCTGGAGGCTTGGGTCCTTCCTCTGGACTCCCCTGGAGGCTTGGGTCCCCTGGACTGACCCAGTGGCTTGCATCCCCTGGACTGCCCCAGAGGCTTGGGTCACCTGGACAGCCCCAGAGGCTTGGGCCCCCTGGACTACTCCGGAGGCTTGGGTCCCCTGGACTGCCCCAGAGACTTGGGTCCCCTGGACTGCCCTGGAGGCTTGGGTCCCCCGGACTTCCCCAAAGGGTTGGATCCCCTGGAGTTCCCTGGAGGCTTGGGTCCCCAGACTGCCCCAGAGGCTTGGGTCCCCAGACTGTCCCGGAGGCTTGGGTCCCCTGGACTGCCTCGGAGACTTAGGTTCCCCGGACTGCCCAGGAGGCTTGGGTCCCCCGGACTTCCCTGGAGGCTTGGGTCCCCTGGACTTCCCTGGAGGCTTGGGTCTCCAGACTGCCCTGGAGGCATGGGTCCTCCCCCTGGACTTCCCCAGAGGCTTGGGTCCTTCCCCTGGAGGCTTGGGTCCTTCCCCTGGAGGCTTGGGTCTGCCGGACTGCCCCGGAGGCTTGGGTTCCCTAGACTGCGCCGGAGGCTTGGGTCCCCTGGACTGCCCCAGTGGCTTTGGTCCCCTGGACTGCCCCAAAGGCTTGGGTCACCCGGACTGTCTCGGAGGCTTGGGTCACCTGGACTGCCCCAGAGGCTTGGGTCACATGGACTGCCCCATAGGCTTGGCTCACCTGGACTGCCTTGGAGGCTTGGGTCCCCTGGACTGCCCCAGTGGCTTGGGTCCCCTGGACTGCCCTGGTGGCTTGGGTCCCCTGGACTGCCCCGGAGGCTTGGGTCCTTCCCCTGGAGGCTTGGGTCCCCCAGACTGCCCCGGATGCTTGGGTCACCTGGACTGCCCCAGAGGTTTGGGTCACCCGGACTGCCCTGTAGGCTTGGCTCACCCGAACTGCCCCGGAGGCTTGGGTCCCCTGGACTGCCCCAGTGGCTTGGATCCCTTGGACTTCCCTGGTGGCTTGGGTCCCCTGGACTGCCCCGGAGGCTTGGGTCCTTTCCCTGGAGGCTTGGGTCCCCCAGACTGCCCCGGAGACTTGGGTCCTCTGGACTGCCCCGGTGGCTTTTGTCCCCTGGACTGCCTCGGAGGCTTGGCTCACCCGGACTGCTCCAGAGGTTTGGGTCCCCCAGACTGCCCCCAGAGGCTTGGGTCCCCTGGACTGCCCTAGAGGCTTGGGTCCCCTGGACTGCCCCAGAGGCTTGGGTCCCCTGGACTGCCCCGGAGGCTTGGGTCCCCCAGACTGCCCTAGGGGCTTGGGTCGCCTGGACTGCCCCAGAGGCTTGGGTCCCCTGGACTGCCCCGGAGGCTTGGGTCCCCCAGACTGCCCTAGGGGCTTGGGTCCCCTGGACTGCCCCGGAGGCTTGGGTCCCCTGGACTGCCCCGGAGGCTTGGGTTCCTTGGACTGCCCCGGAGGCTTCGGTCTCCCCGAATACCACAGTAGCTTTTGCCATGTTGTTATATTACTCGGGTAGATAATTTCCAGTAGATCCTTCATGTGTTAGCTCAAATCACCGACCAGTATGTTTTAAATAAGTGACCCACTGATCAGAGCAGATCGACTGGTCCGGACCCTTGACTGGTCCGAACCCTTGACTGGTCCGAACCCGGGACTGGTTTCAAACAGTTTCGTTGGACAATAAAGCAGACTGTAAACGGATGGGGTTGTAGGCGCCCTTATAAACACAAACATTAAAAATCAGGAACGTGACAGTAAGCTGTCCAATATACAAAAAGAGTTAGAAACAGAAATACAAATAGCTAGAGCTTCATTTAAGGTTATTAATATAATATTCAAGAGGTTGCTAGTAGAATTGCAGTAAATCAACCATTCAAATCATTATGAAGCTGTGTGTAGTCTGTGGTCAGTCAAACAAACGGGCTTCCACATGGATAAACTGTCATTTTTGTGGAAATTGGTGTCACGCCCCTTGTGCAGATATCCCAGAACTAGCTACAAGCAGTATTAAAACAGAGAAGTGTTTCTGGGTATGCCCAAATGAGGAAAATCTGTGGACTAAAATCACAAGGGTATTAAAAGAGGACAACATCAAAGCTGCTTTCATAGAAAACCTGGAAGCTTTCTACAACAGATGGGAACATAAAAAGTCTGGGCTGAATGGTACTGCCCTTGATACTGGCCATGTAGTCACAAACTGTAAGGCTGGAGGTGATGTCCTGGGAGACAGTAATAGTAAAGCTGGAGGTGCTGTCCTGGGAGACAGTAATGGTGAAGCTGGAGGTGCTGTCCTGGGAGACAGAAATGGTGAAGCTGGAGATACTGTCCTGGGAGACAGTAATGGTGAAGCTGGAGATTTTGTCCAGGTAGTCGGGAATTATATGCAGGAAGGAATACATATAAATGACCTCATAGGGGACAGGAGCCATAGTAGGGAAACAAGTGTAGTCAAAGATAAGATAAAACCAATATTGCAAACTAGAAATTCCGCAGGAAATAGCAAACAAGAGGACTCCAATAGCAATAGTGAGGATAAATTACCAAAAACAACTGGTGGGAGCTCCATTGTTGGTGCTAGGGAGGATAGAAGTAAGACAGGGAAACATGCACCAACAGGGAATACAGTCACAGAAACCCAAGGCAAGCGGAAACCAAGCCTGTGCACATACTATGCACTTGGTATCTGCTGGCATGGGAAATCTGGAAAAACAGATGGGACGTGCAACTATGACCACCCTAGAAAATGCCATGCCCATATGACAACAGGAAAATGCAAACTCCCTTCCTGTAAGCTTTTTCACCCTGAAATGTGTACCTCTTCAGTACAGGAAAGACTGTGCTATAACTTAAATTGCCAGGCATACCATCTAAAGGGGACAAAAAGATACAAAACATCCAGGCCATGGGAAAACCTGGGTAGCCACAGCCACTCAAGAGGGAGAGGTTTTTTAGTGCCAGGAAGGAAAAAAAACTGGCAGGAAATGGCAGAAATCGTACACCAAATCCAGTCATTCCTGGAGTGGAACCACAGTCGATGGCCTCCACTCCAAACCAACAGATACAGATACTAATGCCGGAAAAAAAAATCCCCCCCAGTACCAACAATACCACCAGTCCGATAACATTCTTCTTTGCAAATATACAGGGTCTAAAGCCAGCAACAAACAACAAAATACCTTTCATCCGTGGACTGCTTGCAGAGGCAAAGGCAATGTTCGCGGCTTTCACCGAGACCCACATAAAGGATCACTTGGACAATGAAATATGGATCCCAGGTTACAACCTATACAGATGTGACAGAGTGAACAGGCAAAAGGGGGGGGGTTGGCCTGTACATTGCAGAGTCACTTGTTTGCACAGAACTGCTTAATGCCTCAAATGACGTAGTGGAAGTTTTAGCAGTAAAGGTCGAGAACCAAAACCTAGTCATTGTGGTAGTCTACAAGCCTCCGGATGCAACATCCCAGCAATTCCAAGAACAGCTGTTAAAAATTGACCACTGTCTGGAAAATCTTCCAGCTCCTGCACCCAACATCTTGCTCCTGGGGGTTTCAACTTAAGGCACCTAAAATGGAGGAATATAGCAAATAATATTGTTGCAGTAATAACACCAGGAGGCAGCTCTGATGAAAACTCACACTCACACGAGCTTTTAAATCTCTGCACAAAATTCAATTTAAACCAGCAAATAATAGAGCCTACTAGACTGGAGAATACACTAGACCTCATATTCACTAACAATGATGATCTGATAAGAATGTCACCATATCAAAAACAATATACTCAGATCACAACATAATTGAGGTTCAGACATGTATGCGAGGAGCCCCAGACCGACAAAATGAGACTAGTCACGAGGGAGCATTCACCAAATTCAACTTCAATAACAAAAACATAAAGTGGGACCAAGTAAACCAAGTCCTAACCGATATAAGCTGGG